CTGCACAAACAGCAGTTGAAAAAAGTCTTATATAATTGTACCTTTATATCATGAGATCACGTGGCTAAAAACTGAAAGAGACATTAGAAATAATCTAATTCACAGATGTCCAAGTGATTTTCCTTACACACAAGTCTGACCATCTCCCTCCCCTCTTCAGTAAACTCTGTGATTCTCTACTTCCTGTAATGTAATATGTAAACTCCTCTTTGTTTTTTCTGGTGTTACTTTTTTCTTAAACCCACATCAAAATCTCTTAAAATGGAGTAATATATTTCCTTATTTATGCTTTCCATGATAATTATACTTATTTACCTTTCTTATATTTCTTTAATTTTTTGCATTTGTACTAGGAATATTCTACTCATTTTTTCCTTTTATTTAACATCAATTTCTTTTCATTAGTTATTAGGTTCAAGTTTGCAGGATCCATTATTTTTAAATTGCAGTTTGAGCGCCTTTACTTTTCAGAATGTTTTTTCCATTCCTTCCATGATTTCTCATTGCTGAGAAATAGTCTTGTGTTATTTAGATTTTCTTTTATGTTTGAAGATCCTTCTCTTGGCTTCTTACAGAATTTGTTCTCATTGACATTGTTAAATTTAACCATTATCTGTCTTCAAGTTTGAAGAGGTAGATTTTTTTTTTTCTGGAGACAATTTGTGGATTTTCTCAATTTATGCTTTGTTTTCTATATTCAGAAATTCTGCACAGTTTTCTTGGATTATGTCCTGCATTACCTAAATTGTCTCTGCATATCCTATCTTGACAACTGCTTTAGTTTGCACAGAGTTTATATGTTCTTTTTAACATTTTTGCCTTTTACTTCTATACTAGAGTTTTTCTCCATCTCGGTATTTTTGTGTTTCAAAATTTTAATCTCTTACTGTTTTAGAGAAACTTTCCATTGTGGATTTAATTTTCTCTATTCTACTAGTTGACTTTTTAAATTTTTTTCATTGAGAACTCTATGTTTTGAGCTTTAGTCATTCCTGATTTCATCTTTTATGTTTTTCATTTGTCTTTTGAATCATTGTCAAATTTCTTGTCATTCCACTATCTCTTTGAAGTGCAATTCCATAAGGCATTGATTCACTTTCTTTTGTTTTGTAATATTTGTTAAAAGAGATTTGAAGATGTAGTGCCAGTCCTTCCTACTGACCTTAGGACCCTTAGTACCTAGCCTTTCTTCTAACCTTAAGATTTGATTTATCCACTTGTGCCTTGGAGTTTTTTGTTTCTTTCTTTTGGGATAGTTTTCCTTCTTGAAATCTTTGGTGTTTCAACTTTAAAAAAATATTCTCTCACCACTCATATTTCTGATTTCCCTCTCCCATCCCCACTTATATACTTTTTTAATTGGTATATAAAGATACCTCAGTCTACTCAAATACTCGGGAATTTAGGCTTCACCAGCCTGAGGCACTACCCTGAGTAGCTTAGAGGCCTCTACCTGAGTTCTATTCCGTTTTCTTAAAGCCGAACGCAGACACATGCAGACTCCCCTGCTTTCTTCCTCGGTTCTCCTTTCCTTTTTTGCATGAGCTAAATGAGTATTTCCAAAATTAAGTAAACTTTTTGCAGATGAGAAGAGGAGGATGAGAGTGTACCAGGTAGAGTCCCTAACCTAGTTCTGAGCCTAAGAAAGCAATATACTTTTATTCCTCTCTTCCTCCTCACATGGCTGAGTAGAGTAAGTGTCTGCTTTTTGCTGTGGAGGTGAGGGGCAGGCAGGAGATGGGGTATTCTGGCAGTCCGCCATGCAGAGAATCCCACAGTGTGATTTGGGCAGAAACCTATAGATTAGTTTGTGCATTCTATCTGAGCACAAAAGACTGGAGTTCTCCAGTGCTAATTAATAAGGACTTTTACCTTTTAGGAGTTCTCATCTTTGTCCTGTGAACTTAACTGTAGTCACTCTACATCTGTGTGACATAATTCTCCCCCACCCCCTTTTTTTGGAGGGTTAGAGAGTAAAAGAGCTCTGTAAAAAGTGATTAATCTACCATTTTGACAGCAGTCTGTTTATTTTTAAAAACCCCTTATAACTTGACACTAACCTACCTTTCCAGCCTGATACATTACTCTCTTTCCTGCAGTATATGATCTATCAAAACTGGCCTTCTTAATCTCAAGAATATGAAAGAAGTGTAATGATGAAACAATATACCAAAATTTCTAGGATGTAACTAAAGAGTTGCTCAGAAGCAAAATTATCAAAAATTAACAAAATAGAAGATGGAGGAGCAATGAACTAAATAGACAGTTAAAAAATAGCCAAGGAAGGTGAAAGGTCACTAGAATTAACTACCACAGAAGAATCAGGGAAAATGTGGTCAGAGAAAAGGAGATCAGTTTTGGAAAAAAGGATAGCATCAGAGAGAAATTTCAGTAGACTGGTAGGGAAACAAGGTTGGTCTCACAGATTATGGAGGAATGGATGATGGAGTAAGAAAATAAATTTATTGACTTCTCATTTATCCCTTCTTGATGGAGCCTGGGGTCCTTGTTGGGATATAGAAAAAAACATAACCTAGTGGATTCAGATGATTTAGATTTAGGAAGGACTTTAGATGTTATCTAAGTCCAAACCAGTTATTTTAAGGGAAACAAAGAGGTTAAATGAGAAGGGCACAAAGGTAGTGGTTAATATAACTCAGGTCTTCTGAGGCCAAATCCAGTGTTTTTTCATACTATATGGCACTGCTTCTCTAAATGGAAAGTAATAGTTCTGAGTTTCAAAGTATTAAAAAACAAAATATATACTGGACAGGCTAATTTGTTCATAATAATTATTAATTTTGAAATCCCTAAGAGATAATGATGACAACTCACATTTATATCTAATACTGTAAGGCAAATAGTATAAATATTACTACCCCCTCATTTTATGAATATGGAAACTAAGTGTCAAAGGAGTGAAGTAACTTGCTTTTATCACACCAGTGGCACATTTCGAAGCTAAGCTTCAAAACCAATTGGATCTGTTGATACCAAGTATAACATGATTGCTGCAATATTACACTCCAGTTCAAGTAGCTAATAGCATGGTAGATAACCTAAATATGATTCCTTCAGTGGTGCTTGGTTATTTGCATATAATAACTATATATATACGTATATATGTATGTATGTATATGTATATATATACACAGACACACACACTGTGTATTGCCAATAGCTTGTGATTATAGCAAAATAAAATCTGACAAATGATATGTGTTGCAATCATTTCTCCCTAAGTAAAGGAACACTGAAGGATCTCAAAAGTTGTCACTGTGGGCAGGACCCCAGTGTCAGTTTTCCCTCTATCCTAAAAGCTTTAGTAATCAGTTTTCATGAGTGACTGTGGCCAAAAATCCATCACTTTGTGCTGAACTTCTTTATGAGCCTCCCCAAAGTTAACTAGACTGGTCCTTGGATGAAGGACAAATAGTTCTTGCCAAGCCTATATACTTGAAGCATTTCAAGCTTGATAATAGCACCTGCCAAAGTTTAGGCCCAGTCAGCATGGCCTTGGTGGACTCAGGATCACCTCCACCCTATAATGAACCAGATGAGGAATTTCCTAGAGGCTAAATGAGGAGATGACATAAAAATCATTTGATATATTTTTTTAAAGACTAACTTATTTCCAGGTACTTCTCGTGTTAATCCTGTTGTAGGACTAGAGGTTTTCTAGCCGAGCCCTCTAACCCATATGAAGTTTCATTATAGAAGATGATGGAGGAGTTATTTTATGAGCCATGCAACTGAAAAGACTTTGGATATGATGACTTCTGGGCATGACAGTTGTGCACCTTTCCCAGGGAGTGAACGTCCATGGAGTAAATTATGGAGTACTTACAGGCACCCATTTTTCCTTTCAGAAACCATGGGGCATGTTAAATGCACTTATGATGGATAGCAGGGCATACAGAGTTTAAAACCCACATTTTTAAAGTAAGCCTGCTTAACCTTGTACGATACTTTAACATGGCACTTTAGAATTAGAAGCACATAGCAATAACATTTGTTGCCAACCTAGCTCTATTTATTAACTCGGTGGAGCTATGAGCAGGAGTGTTTGAAAGCCAAGATCTGGTTCTTCATCTTGAAAATCATTTTTGATCTTTCTCATCTGAGGTCTTACATAAGCACTGTTTAAAAAAAACTGGACATGCTAATAATCAATCCTTTATAAACTGAAAGCTTATGAATTTTTCATACTGACGTAGCTTTAAAGCTAACCGTAAATATTTATAAAGCTCTTCTTTCCAATACTTCTTAAAAGGAGATCAGTGCCTGACATGGCTAGGAGATGATAGTGTTTTAGCTGATTTTCCTTTGAAATGTAGAAAAGTCTTCAAATTTTCTCACATTATTCTCCCTAATGTACACTATAAAGGGTAAATATTATGACTTACGGTTAGGATAAATCTTGTGATGGTAAATGTTATTGAAAGTACGCTTTTCAGTGTTGAAAGCTAATATAATTATTTTTAAAAGAAAGTACGCCTTTCTCATTGGAGAGAATGGAAATAAGATATATTAAGGGATTTAAAGTATTTTGTTTAACATATATTACAAATAATGCAGCCTAGCCTTTTTTTCCTGTATAATTTTTACTCATAATTCAGAAAAGGCAAGGCTATCCATAGTCTAGTCTTTTTTTTTTAACAAAAGACAGTTTTCTCTTCCAATTAAAAATGACCAACTATGAAGGAAAAAGTAGGGCTATATTTACTTAGACTTACTATTGTATCCTTTAGAAAAGAGTAACTTTTCTCTGGGGAGGTCAGTCTTACTTTGGTAAAAACAGTTCATCTGCAATTTTAATTTGAAATTGAACAAGAAGACTCAAAGGTTGAAGACTTGTGCTGAATAACTATGGTACCATTTACTTGCAGCCTTCAAGCCTTCTTTTCTAGAAATAAGGCAGTCAAGAGCCAGTACTTGTCTTTCACTGCCTCTGGCTAGCTTAGCCATTAGCATCTCTCAGAATTTTGTTTGTTTTTCAGAATTCACTTTGGAATGAATGGTGCTGTCCTGATTAATCCACTCAGGAGCAAAGGTCACACTAGAGCATCCCCTGTTTTTGAAGTACAGCTCACCAAAGATTTGATTTGTTTCTATGACTCAAGTGTAGAATTCAGGTGAGATCAAATCCCTTAAAAAAAAAAAAAAACAATGTCCAGCATTTGACTGGGGACTAGGAACGTAAATGAAAAGTAAGTGTTTATCGGTGCTCTTTCCCCTTTTTTTTTTTTCACCAGTTGCAACCCAATAATTCTCCTCAGCTTCTTTGTCATAGAACCCTCCCTCAAATTAGAGTGTAGCTGAGCAAAACAAATCAACACATTGACCACATTTACAAAATATTCTCCATTCTACTTCTGTCATCCATGACCTCTGTTGATAGTAACAAGTCATGCTCCAACAATTCACTAAAGTATGTTTAGTCACTGCATTGGACAGTCCTGATATCTTTAATTTTGCTTTGTTTTCACTGTAGGGAACTTTATGTTCATCTCAAAATTTTCATAGGATCATACTTACAGCTGACAAGCTGAAAGAGACCTTATAAGTCATCAAATCCAACTGGCTTCATTTTTACAGATGAGGAAACTGAGGTCCAGAGAGCTTAAGTGTCTTGCCCAGGGTTTAGCTAGTGAGTGTCTGAGGCTTGATTTGAACTTAGGACTTTTTGACTTCAAGCCCAGCTCTCTATTCTCTATGCCACCGAGCTGCCTCATCATGAGAAATAAATTCTCCCAAGTATTATGTCAATATTTCATGTAAATGATTGGCATATCCAGGTTGGTCATGATTTATCTGCATTTATGACAAAGCCCACAAAATGTATGATTTCTTTTTCTTAATTAAAAAAATTGTGAACTTACTCAAAGGTAATATATTTTCTCTTCTTCAGGAATTCTCTGGAAAGTAAACAGAGGATAAGAATGATGGAAGATTTAGATGTCTGCTCACCCAGATTTAACTTCTCAAGGGCAGAAAGTGAAGTGAAAAAGCAGAAGGACCGGATGTTATGTGATGTGTTATTGGACCAGAATGTGTTACCTGGTGTTGGAAACATCATCAAAAATGAAGCCCTCTTTGATAGTGGTCTCCACCCAGCAGTTAAAGTATGTTTTAAAAAGATTTTTTTTGTTTTTCATATTTCTATATTTGTAGAAATAGTAGAACCCCTTCATACTGTTGGGGATAAGGGAATAGAATTAGCCTTCATCTCACATACCATACCATGTTGTTGTTCAGTCGTTTTTTCAGTCATGTCTGACTCTTTGTGATCTCATTTGGGGTTTTCTTGGTAGAGATACTGGTGCAGTTTGTCATATCCTTCTCCAATACTGTACCATATTAACCTTTAAAAATTATTGATGTCTCTTGTTTGTACATTATCTTTATTCTGAAATATATGTCCTACCTACCCACCCAGTGAGCCTTCCCTTGTAACAAAGAAAAAAAAATCAAATCAGTAAAATCAATCATAACAGAAGCCATAACTGACTATAAATACAATATTCCATACCCATCACCCTCCACCTCTGCCAGGAAGAGAGAAAGATACACACCATACATACCTTTTTATGTGTAATTGCAGTTGTGGTGGGGTTAACCCAGAATACAAATCAGTCTGTGTAATAAGGAACTATTACCATAGTGTCCTACTTTATATGCAGAATAACATTCACAGCAACCTCTTTCTGTGTGTTGGACAAATATATACCTATCACAAAAGCGGTGGCACACATACTTCAGCATTTCCAGGATCTGTAGTTTCACCTGGGGTGGTCACTCCTTCCACTGATGCAGCAGCTTGCAAAACTGCCCTGCCATAGTGAATGGCTTCATAAGCAGAGACAGAGAGAGACACACACAGAGACAAAAGCAGAGAGACACAGACACAGACAAGAGAGCTAGAGGCAGATGAGAGATAAGAAAGACAAGAGAGAGGCGACGAGAAATAGAGACAGACAGACAGACAAAAAACAGCGACAGAGAGAGATGTTGCCTGCTGATCAACCTTTTGATGATGTGTAGGCACTTGGCCAATGGCCAAGGCTATACTTGTAGTCTATATAACCTGACAAATTACTAGTATAGGCTTTGAGAACACAGAGTCACTTTTATGTGATGAAGTAACATTGGAATAGAATATATTGGGTGGTGATGTATCTAAATCCATCTTAGAGTTGTTTGGGGGAAAAAAGACACTGATAAGTGTTTTTGTTTGTTTGTTTGTTTTAGCATCAAAGTATATTTCTTCAAACCAGTTAAACAAGGCTACCTAATAGTGAGACTGTGACTTAGAGTAGTACCATGCCCCAGTCAATGGCACCTTACAAATTTATGTCATGTGTGGTTATTTTATTAGTAGACCAAGGGCTCTTACCTTGTTTTGTATCGTGTAGTCTTTTAAAAGTCTAATGAATCTTGTGGAAGCCTTCTCAGATTTATTGTTGTTGTTCTTTTTTAATCCATTCATAATGGAAGGAAATGTTCAATTTCAGCTAGATTTTAGGGAAAATAAGGATTAATTTTCTTTCATTCAGGTTTTTGGGTCCTCTCAAATCTGTCCACAGACCCCATGGTTCATGGATCCCAGGTTAAGAAACAACCTCAAAGCTAGACATTTTTCCTGGGTCTGACAAGTACGACTTACTTTCCATGATCTCTATATGAACCCACTAATGTTTATCATATGTTGTGACTATAGATTCTGTATAACTGTAGCTAGCAATGACATTTGATCTAAAAGGTTTAACAGACAGGAACTCAAGGATGGATTGGTAGAAATACGTTTCTCCTAGTAAGGAAAAGTTAAACAAGTCAGTACCCTACTAATAGAAAGTATGAGAATACATCTGTTTTTTGTTGGTGGTGGTCTTTTTTCTTTTGTTTTAACCCAGTCACCATACGACTGAGGAGTGAATTATTTTTGTTGATAATGGGCAGGTAGCAAAGGGTTTATTGCAGTAAGGAGAGAAAAAAGGATGTTACTTAGAACTATTAGATTATCTAAATTCAGATTGTGTTATTATAAGTCAATTAAATGCATAGACTCAGTTTTGCTTATTTTATTTCTTCAATGGTTTGAAAGATTAGTCTGGCCTCTTAATGAAACAGAATGCTTTAATATCTGTCAAGCTGTTATAACCAGTATTCACACTGATTCCAACTGACTACAAAGCTCTATGAAAATAAATCTTAACAGATATTTTAATAAGCACACTTTTCTCCCTTTATATTTTCTTTATCCTTGGTGTCCACTCAGAACCTCTTGTGAGACCTTTTTCTGGATCCTTACCAAAGTTTTACTTCTGTTAATTCTTCCTCTAGAGTTGGAGGTAGAGTTGTAGGATGAGGAGAAGCGAGAGGAGGATAACTGGGAACATTAGTAAATAAGAGCCAAGTTATCAGCTCTAACTGACATACCACTTCCTTTCCCCATAACAAGCAAAAATACACCAATTGGGGGGGGGGGAACTAACAAGAAAAAAAAAAAAGAAATTTCTATGAACAACCAGAGAGGCCAAAGAGCCTTTGTGTCATTTGAAACTCTAGAGTAGGCTGAAGGAGAGAGGGTATGACCATATTGAGCTGTCCAGGCTCCTAGGCAGAACAGAACAGAAGAAGCTGCACTTTGCTACTCCTACAACTTTTTACTCAGATTATTGGTCAGATGCAAATTAGGTAAAGTAGAATAAAGGAAGGTTCAATAAGTGAAATTTAATGAAAGGGCAATTTTCCAAGCAAGATATCATTTATATCTTGCAATGGGTCATGCAACCTGATAATAAAGGGTGGGTCAACTGACCTTGCCTCTGGCCAGAAGACCTCAAATTGAGGGTGCAGTGGGTTTTTTATAAGCTTAGAACAAAGAAAAGAACAATAATCATGTAATTGGCCAGCCCTATAGAGATGAGAGATTATTGGTGACATCAAAGACAGTGAACATAGCCCCAGGTGGGATAACAGCCACCTCTCTAGATCTCTAAGAAATGCTTTTGTGAATTTTATGGGTCCTAGCTGCATCCTGAGGTTACTGGTAATGGCAGACTCAGCAGCAGCTGGGGAATTAGATAAGACCACCTTAATTGTTCAAGATGGGACAAGGTTAGGTAGTCCGAGCTTCTCAAGGACACCCCACAGACCTTGCAGGAAATGCTGAGATAATGTGTTATGAGAGCATTGAGAACAGAGTTTTTCTTTAACTACTAAGCTTAAGCCTTTAGAGAGAAAAACTGAACGTTAGCCCACAGAACTGTTTCACTCAAAAGTCAGAGAAGAGGCTTCAGTTTTGATAGAATATTATTATAGAATGAAATCAAATACAAACTATGGGAAACTATAGGAAAAGCCCATCGCCACAGAAGAAGCCAGAGTAGCTTCATCAACAGACCATAGAATCATCATGGATCTGGAGCTGGAAGGGACCCAAGATTGACTACTGAATCCAACTCCTTCGTTTTACAAATGAGGAAACTGAGCCTCAGAGGTGTTAAGTGATTGCACAAGGTCACTCAAGTAGCAAGTGGGCAGAGCTAGGATTCAAACCAAGGTCTTCAGACTGAAGACCTTAAAGAACTAAAGAAGGTCTTTAGTGTCCTATAACAACCCAAATGGCATATCCCTCATAGACGAAACACCTACAGAAATGCATGGTGAATCTACACTAACAGTGTTACTAGAAATAGAAAATATTAAATTGAATTACATTATAAGCACATCGAAAGAAGATTCTAATTTCACCCTCCCCCACAAAAGTACATTAGAAAAAAGCAAGAAACAAACAACTAAATTGCAAAGCAACAGAGAACGAAAATATCGGTAGAAACATGAGAAAGCAAAATAATGAAAATGACAATAGGTATGTATTTGCCTCAATACCTTTTATCAGAGGGGCAAAATGATAAAATCTAAGAATGAGGCTAAAGTGAAGAGAACGAAAAAAAAAAGTCATGGCAGCACAGATAGAACTGGCCATCCTAAGTGTGAAAGGTTCCTCCCCAGTAAAAAGAGGGTCAGGATATCTCAGGGAGTCACAAAGATAATAGTAGTGTAAAACACAAAAATTCAGTTTGGTTTAATTTGGTTCATTTATTTACATTTTTAAAAAATCTGAATTTAATGAACGTTGACAAAAGAAACATTTCCATATGCAAAGCATAAAGGTAAAAGAATTCCTGTTCTATACAGCTTGCTTTTTTAGAAGTAAATAATAGATTTTAACATGTGACTTTCAGAGCTGTCTCTACTTATCAGTGTTTCCTTCTGAACTTTCCTTAGTTCTCTTCTGTGCATTTTTTAAATTAATTTTTTAATTGGCAAACCATCCTTCTTTTCCTCTCTTCCCCCAAATAAGGAAGAAAAACAAAACCTCTGTTACAAACTTGTATAGTCAAGCAAAACAAATTTCTGCATTGACCATGTTTTTAAAAAAAAAAAAAGTCTCATTCTGCTCTCACTCCTTCACTTCTCTCTCAGGAGGTGGGTGCCATTTTTCATGAGTCTTTTGGAATGGTAGTTGGTCAATACACTGGTCAGAGTTCCTAAGTTTTTCAAGTTTGTTTTTATTTCATTGACACTGTATAAATCGTTCACCTGACTCTACCCACTTCACTCTATATCAGTTCGTGCAAATCTTAAGTTTCTTTCAAACCATCCTTTTCATAATTTCTTACAGCACAATTGTATTCCATTTATTTACCATAACTTCTTCAGCCATTCCGCTTTGTTTCCATTTCATTGCTGCAACAAAAAGTGCTGCCATAAATATTTTTTGTGCATTCTCTCTTTTGGAATTTGTTTAGTTAATTAATAAGCATAACAACTCACATTTACATACACTCTAAGGTTGACTGAGCACTTTGCTCGCAACAGCCCTATAAGAGATATATTATTCCCAGATTATTGTTCTCATTTTATAGGTGGGCAAACTGAAGGTCAAAGAGGATAAGTAACCAGCTCAAAGTCCCAGAATTAATTAGTGCCTCCACCAGAGTTGGAAACCAGATATCTCCTTACTCCAGATCTAGCACTCTTTTAACTACACCATATTGTATATTTCAAGTTGTCTTACTGCATATATACTGATTTCCGTTTCATGCCCTGCATCAAAAGCCAAGCCTGTAGCCCTTTAACTTTATCTAACATATTAGAAGTAGTGACATTCTCTCTTCCTATGTGCATATTTTAGTTCAGCACAGAATGTCCTCTTCTCTTTTCTCCAATAAGATTGTTCTAAAAGCCCATATATCTAGTCCCATCTTACTTCCTTAGACTAGGTTATTTCACAGTCAATATTAAATACCCAGAAGTCAGTTGTTAGAAGAATCAGACCTCCCTGGACCTTAGGAGTCAAGTTGCAATGTATAGGACACTAGGTATTAAGAAAATAAAAAATCAAAAAAAACCCTGAATCTTTTCCATGCTCACACTGTCAGGAGGCAGAGTAAGTTCCTAATATCTCTATAAAACAGAAGTGTGGCAACTACAGCTTCCCAAGGGTGTTATGAAAACTAAGAGAGATGAGATATCATCAGGGACATCGAGACTCTTCTGTGTCTCCATAAACTCAGAGTGTTGTAGGATGAAGTAGAAGGTATTTCCTCTGAAACAGCCTTAGAAAGTACGTGCAAAATATAATTAATTCTTCAAGGATAATGCTGAAGTTTATTGAGGACTTTTATTAAAAAAAAAACCTCAATCAGGTGTATGTATAAGTTCTTCCATTAAAAAAATTACATATTGATCATAGGATATTGACATTGGAAAGGGTTTAAAACTCATCTAGGTCAAATTCCTTTTTATACAGGTCAGGGAACAGTGACAGAAGTATATTGAACATTGTCAGATCACCAAAGATTTGAATGCATAATTTATGTTTGTAAGAATAATATTCTGAGAATTGGAAATTGAAGGGATGCCCATTAACTGGGGAATGGCTAAACAAACTATGGTATATGATCATGATAGAATATTATTGTGCTACAAGAAATGACAAGCAGAATGATTTTAGGAAAACCTGGAAAGACTTATATGAACTGCAAAGTGAAGTGAGCAGGACCATTGTTGTACACAGTAACAGCAATATTGTTCGATGAAGAACTGTGAAGGACTTAAGTATCCTCAGCAATACAATGATCCAAGACAATCCCAAAGGACTGATGATGAAGCATACTATCCGCCTCCAGAGAAAGAACTGATATTGTTGGAATACAGACTGAAACATAGTTATTTTTCACTTTCATTCTTTTTCATTTATTCAAGTCTTCTTGTACAAAATGACTAATATTGAAATGTTTTTACATGATTGAACATTGTAGAACCTATATCAAATTGCTTACCATCTCAGGGCAGGGGGGAAGAGGGAAACTTTAGAAAAAAGTTAAACATGTAATTGGGGAAAAATAAAATATATTAAATAAAATATATCATAAAAATAATAATATTCTGTTTAGTACTGGCATTTCAGAATAGAGTGTTTATAAATTAATATATGACACCAGTCAAGATAGAGAAAGTATTGGAACCTGGCTATCTATTTGTTTGCTATATAATGTTACCTGTTCCTGTTTATATATCATCCACATGTGCATAATCATTTTGCTGATGCCCTTTAAATTTTTTAGACTTTTACTTTTTTCACTTTTCTCTCTCCTTTATGCCCCCCCCAGGGGAAAAAAAACCTTTTAACAAACATACATAGTCAAGCAAAATAAATTCCCATATTATTCATATGTCTCATTCTGCATATTAATCCATCATTTCTCTGTCAGGAAGTAAGTAGCAGCCTTCATTGTCCATCCTACTGATGTGTTTTCTTAAAATTTCAAAATAATAAACTGATGATCAAAATATCTTTAAGCTTTTTTCCTTCATTTTAAGGTTTCTCAGCTAAAAGATGAACAGACACGTCACCTTGTGAAAATGATACGTGACTTTACAATCCTTTTTTATAGGGTAAGAGCAAAATATTTGAACTTATCTAAATGTTCAACTTTATTTTTGTTGACAACAAAATGTAAAAGTTGTCTATAACCATCTAATGGACAATATAAAGCTACCTCATAGCAACATTGCTATTTTAGGGGAAGAAACTAACCTTCCCTTAAATCATATAGAGTATGTTTTGGTCCGTGTTTGACCATACATGGCAAGGCTGATGAACCTTGTGTCCGGTTGTCTTTCAAAGGACCATAGGTATGGAGCTAGAAGACGTATTGGAGGTTACCAAATCCAACCTCATTTTATAGAAGGAAACTGAGACCAGGGAAATTAAGTGACTTTCCCAGAGTCACATAGCTAGTAAATGCAAGAGGTAGGATTTGAATTCAGGTCTTCCTTACTTCAAATTATATGTTCTATCCTTTACTTGCATTTCATGTATAATGAACTACTGTGGGTGAGGAGGGTGGAGGAAAAAGAGGTTACATTGGGTGATACTGCCTTCATAAAGTTAATAAAAATATTTTGCTTTTTAAAAATACATTTAGACACCCCCCCCCCAGTAGTGACTATACAACAGTATCACAGTATGTTGGTTTTTTATTTAGTGTATCTATTGGGTGCTTAGATGTCATGTTAACTATAATAAAAAAGATGGCCTCAGTGGGATTTAAAGCATTTGGCAGTTTTTAGCACGATCTAATGAAAGGTATACAAGTATTTCCTGGTTCATTACTAGGTATTCCCAATGAGGGGCCTTAACTGTCATTTGTGTTATGTTTGTGTTTTGCATGCTCAATTTCTATTTTCATTTGTTCTCCCAGAGAGATTGGTTACAGAAAATTTCCCATTTTGTCCATCCTGTAAATTTGAAATTTTAATGCTTTGCCAAATTAATATTAAGTCTGTGTGTAATTTTCAGTTAATATATGCTGAACAGTATTTCTGGTTTTCTGCAATTTCATACTGCTGATTGAAAGCCGCAGTGTTCTCTTTAAATAGTCTGTGAGTAGGATTACATCTGACAGAAACTGTCAAAATGTCTTTTGAAATGGCATTGAAACTGTTCATGTGTTGTACCTAAACAGAATACTTTCTGTACTGGAAATGTATTGAATGTTTTTTAGAGTAGGTATAAGATGATGATATTAATAACTGCTGACATTTATATAGTACTTTATAATTAAAGTAATTTTATACACATTATATTATTTGAACTGTACAATAACTCTGAGGTAGGTAAGAATAATAATAATAATGATAATAAAAACAACTGGCATTTATATGGTGATTTAAGGTCTGCAATCTGCTTTACATGTGTTCTTATTCTAATAACTTTGTGAGATAAGTCCTATTATTGTCCCAATTTTACAGATAAGGAAACTGAGGCTGAGAGGTCACACAGTTAATTAAATGTCTGAGGGAGGATTTAAACTTAAACTGCAGTGCTCCTTCACCACCTTAACAGTATATCATTATCACCATTTTACAGATGAGGAAACTAAGGCACAAAGGGGATAAGGAATTTGCTCAATGTCACATAGCTAATAAGTAATGGAGCCAGAACTCAAAGCCAGGTCTTCTGAATCCAAATCTAGTGTTCTTTACACTGTACTATATAAGTTTAATGCTTTCAACCAGATCTAGGCATTAGAAATTAGAATAAAATACGAGAGGATTTGTCTTCTGGGTTATTGAAATTAGACTTAAGACAAGGATTAGATTTTTCAAAAAGTGGCCAGGCATGGAATTCTCTTGCAAACACTTCATTGCATTTGAAGTAAAATCCCATACAGTTCTTATATCCCATTATAGACAGTAAGATGATTCTAAGGAAAGAACAAGAAATGTAAACAAGGCATAAGGTTATGAAGCGATTGTGTCAAATGGCAGGTGTGTAAGAATCTTGCCAACATCTTTTTTTTTTTAATTAAAAAAATGCAGATCTTTTCAAATTCTCTTTAGCATATTATATTTATGGATAACATTTAAGATTATAAATTTGATTCCTTAGCAACACAACTGTCATCGTAGTTGGTAACATAGGGTCACATAATTATTTTGTTTTAAGTGCCGCAAAACAGGCTCGGCTCTTTATAGACACTGTAAGGTGTATAAACGTTCTGACTGTGGTCAGTGCAGAAGCAAGATAACTGTATGTCGCTTGGGGGAAAATAACAGAATGACATATTTCTGTCCTCGGTGTCAAAAGGAAAATCCTCAGTTCATTGATATAAGGTAAGATATTCACCTTCAATACAGCTTTCTTATACTTCTGCCTCCTAAGAATGACGAGAAGATTAATAAGAAGCTATTATCTAATATTGGTTAGTTCATTGTGAAGAAATTTACTGAATATTTATTAAGTACCTGTTATGTGCCAGGCTTGTGTTAGGCACTGGGGATTTCAAGAAAAAAAGGAATAGTTTCTGCCCTCAAAGCTTACATTCTAATGAAGAAGATGTCATTTATACATACAGGTGTGATACATATAAAGTAGCCACAAGGTAACCATAGATGGGAAGGCACTAACAGCTCAGTCTTCTGCAATAGTTGTTCCTTGAGAAAGAAAAAATAACCCCGTAATAAAGTCAGAAGAATATATCTTCTGGAGGTTTTGTGGCACAAATTCCTGTCCTCGGGTAGCTTAACACCTGTAACAAGTGGAAAAGCTTTGGTCATTGGGTTAATTTCCAGTCCTCAGCTAAATTATATGTATCTCATGAGACTAATACCAACAGATCTAGCAATATCATTTTGGAATCTCTGTGGAGGATGGATTGGAAAGGGGAGAGATTGGCTATTGGAGAAAATTATAAAAGTTTATAAAAGCCTGTGAAGAGGGACTGGATAAACCGCAGTACCTGGAGTTTAAGTGCAGGGAAAAGGATGGATGTAAGAGATGTTACAGAGAAGGAACTGGCAAGACTTTGGTGAAAGTGAAAGATAAGGTTGTGAACTTAGGTGACTGGAAAGTTGGGGGCACCTTTGAAAGAAACAGTGAAGTTAGGACAAAGGAAGAAAATGAGTTTTGTTGGGGATTTTGAATTTGAGACTTCCAAGTAGAGATTTCTAGGAGACAATTGGAGTTATGAGTCTGGAGGATAAGAGAATAAGGGCTGGACATATGTTTAGAAGTTACCTAAATAGAGATGATAGTTGTTTCCAGAAGTGATGATTAAATCAATCAATCAATAAGCATTTATTAAGCATTACATATCACCAAAATAGTGAGAAATGGATAGAACCTAGGACATAGGCCTGGGGTTCACCTATGCATAAGGAATAAGATACAAGTGATGATCCTACAATGGAGACCAAGAAGGGTTAGTCTAATAGGTGAGAAGATAAATCACAACAGAGAGTGTCATGAATACCCCAAGAGGAGAAGGTATCTAGTGGGAGGGGATATTTGATATTATTAACCACTGGAAAAGGCTGTTGGATTTAGAAGTAAAGAAACCATTGCTGACCTTGAGAGGAAACAGTTTTTATCTAGTCATAGAGACCAAAGACAGATTGCTAGGGGTTAAGAAATGAATGGACAGTGAGAAAGTAGATGCAAGTCTCAGCTTTTCCTAGATGTTTGGGCTATTAAAGGAAGGCAAAGTATAGGGCAATAGCTTGAGGAGATGGTGGGATCAAGTAAAGGATTTTTACAAGCAGGGGAGATTTAGGCATGTTTTTGGGCAAAAGGGAAGGAGTAGATAGGGAAAAGATGAATGAAAATCAGAGGAAGAATAGATGTAGTTAAAGAGCCAAGTTCTTGGAGATGATAAAGAAGAAATCAAGAGTACAAGAAAATGAATTGAAGTTGGCAAGAAGGGCTCCCTTATCCTCATCTGATAAGAGCAAAGGAGGAGAGAATTGGTGATGATGCTAAGGTGATTTGAAGTATAGAACTAGGGATGAGAGAGAGCTTGCAATGGGTTAATTTTTTTTCAATGAGTGAAGACCTTTGTTGATAGGGATAAGAGAGAAGGGTGGTATGGGGACTTGAGAAGAAAAGGCTTAGAGCAACCTCTGTGAGGAGAGGAATAGAGAATTGATTAGTGTAGAGTAAAAGGATTGACTTTTGGCAGTGAGGGTCTAGTTGAAATTTCCAGCACAAATTTCTAGGGGACTCAGCACAGAAGTACTTGGGCAAGAGCAGAAAAGGCAAATGGCAGGAACAGTCTTAAGCAGGGATGAAGAATCTGTGGCTTCAAGGCCACGTGTATTCCTCTAGGTTCTCAAGTGCAACTTTTTTTTTTTTTCTAGAGAGGAAATTGGGGTTGTGACTTGCCCAGAGTCACACAGCTAGTAAATGTTATGTGTCTGAGCCCGGATTTGAACTCAGGTACTCCTGACTTCAGGGCAGTGCTCTATCCACCGCGCCACCTAACTGCCCCTCAAGTTCAGCCTTTCGACTGAATCCAAACTTCACAACAAATTCCCTTAATAAAAGGATTTATTCTGTAAAACTTGGGACTCAGTCGAAAGGCTGCACCCAAGGACCTAGAAGGCCAGATGTGGTCTCAAGGCCACAAGTTCCCATCCTTGGTCTAAAGTTTATATTTGGAAAGAGATAAACAGAGACTGGAGATGGAGACTAAGAAGGGATTTAGGAGAGGTGAGCTGGAAGGACAGGTGCACATGGTCAGAAAGGAATTTCAAAGTTATGGGTTACAGAGATAGAACTCTTGTGGGTGATGACATGATTAAGGTCATGGTTGTCCTTAATATGTCGCTGAGTGTAGGTCATTAGAGTTGAGAGCGATGAACTGGGAAGCAAGGGTATTTGAGGGGACATCTCTATGTAACCTGGAAGTCCTCAAGTTTGTGGACAAGGATTGGGATGTATAGGAAAACTGTGAGCCAGATATTAAACTCTTTGAGGAAGGGAGAATGACCTGGGGCCTGGGCACTAATAGCCACCAGGATCAGGATAGAGTGACATATTTGGATTGAGTGGATTTCAGAAGGAAGAGAGTTAACTGAATAAAGGTAGTTGGGGGAGGGCCTGGAAATCACAATAGAGAGCAAGAAACATGATTTTACAGACATAACTTAATTATAAATGTGCATAATAAAGAATCTTTCTATTGTTCTTGTCTCCAAAATATCCAAAACCTATGGACAAAGTAATTTAGAGTAGATCTGCTTATAATGTTGATTTTTAAATGTATTATCTTGCAGCAAGCTGCCCACAAGAAACAGTCTAATTGACTGGGCATATACCAGGGGGCTGTATCCTAATGAACATGTTGCTCAGAAAGCTGAAGAGGAATGGACGTGCGCTGTCTGTACCCTAATAAACAAGCCTTCTGCTAAGGCCTGTGATGCTTGCTTGACTTCCAGGCCCAATGGTGAGATTGAGTGTGGGTTTCTTTGATCATTCTATTTGCAAGACTATTAATTATGCAAAGTCAAGTATCTATTTTACTCTTTCCTGCTGTTCAATAATCTTAATATAAGAATAATACTTTCTTCCTGAAAGCTCAAAGGAATTATCTTTAATTTGAGCAAGTAGCCATTGTACAAGTATTTATTCACTACAGTATATGTATTTCTGCATGTAAGCTATCTCCATAGAGATCTGTAGGCACCTGGTTTTTTTTTCCCCCTTTTTATTTTAGAGGGAGGGGAAACATGCTTGGGCTACAACAGTAAGTTCTTTTGTATCTCAAAAATTGAGATTATCACATCTGTTCTCCTCCCCTGTTTCTAATGAATTATTCAATAAAGCTTTGTTTTATGCAGATTTCAGCAACTTTCTAGTTTGTTATTCAGTCCAAGTGTTATAAATTGAAAGGGAGGTTTTCTAAAAGAATGTGTTTGCAGGTGGAATGGAAAAATTCTTCCTCTCTTCTTTATCTTCCCCACCCCGTTGTTATTAAAAGCTTTACATAGACAATTGTACTGATTTCATTGAAATCCTTCAAAATAACTCTTTGCAACTTGCAATCTTGTGTGTACAGAGAAATGTAAAACCCTCATGGAAACCTGTGATTAAGACCCATCTCATTGATGCTGATTCTATTGTGTTCTCAATGTGTTATTTTCCCCCCTCAATTAGAACAGAACAAGTTCATTCTTGACTTATGTTCTCCCACACTTTGTAGACTGGAATGCTGCATCTTAGTATTTGGGCCAAGGAAGCAGGCCTTGCTGAGAGCAGAGCTTCACAACTTTCAGTAGAAGTTGCCTTGATGATTCTTACCCTCTTGTTCCAATATTACAAGGCTTTTAGAGTCCTAAGATAAGAGCAACCTTGGGTTTCTAAATTTACTTCACCCTTCAGAACATTCTTACTCTGCTAATGATCTTTCTTCCCATTTTCTTTTGTAGCCTGTACAGCAAAGATATAGATCAGAATAACATCCTGATAGAACATGCTCTTAACACGGGTTCCATAGTTCTTAAATTAAAGGAATTATGGTGCAGACTCTGATTTTCAGTTCAGCAATATTTAGTAAATGTGAATAGCCCTTTTCATTCATCTATATTCATATTATTTCAAATAAGGCTTTCATTATAAATCCAGTTACCCATAGAAACAAGGCTTATAACGCCATTCAGATTCTATCCCTTTATGAACTGTGATAACGTAAACACCTGTACTGGTTTCATCTTCAGCTCCTTTGGAGAGAATTTTGTAAAACCAGACATCACTATTGCTATTTCTGTAGTCTCCTCAGTTCTTAGAAGCTAATAGCTCAGTGTTACATATAGATTCTTGGAACATAATGAAAGGCAGTAGAAAACTTTATAAATCCCATCTTTGGTACCATGAAAGTAGACTGTGGAAACCATGAAACTCAAATCATAGTCCTTTTGGTAACTTCTAGGTGGTACAGTGAACAGAGTGTTTAACTTGGAGTCAGGAAAGGTGTGGGTTCTGTTTTTGCCTTTGATACACAACAGTTGGGTGATCCTGGACAAGTCTTAACCATTCTCAGGCTCGGTTTTCTTATCTGTAAAATGACATAATAATAGCATTTATCTAACAAGGTTGTTGTGAGGATCAAACAAATTAAGACATGTCAATCATTTTGCAAGGCTTATTCAGTCATTCAGTTGTGTCCAACTCTTCATGATCCTGCAGACCATCTCCGTAATTCGGTGGACCATAGCGTGCCAAGCCCTTCTGACCTGAGGGCCTCATTTTCCAATGTCATATCTTTTAGCATTTTTAAAAATACTGTCTGTGGGTTTTTTTGGCAAAGATCCTGTAGTGATTTACGATTTCCTTCTCCACTTTTATGTAGGCAGAGGTCAAGTGGCTTGCCCAGGGTCACACAGCTAGTAAGTACTTGAGGTCAGATTTGAACTCTGGTCTTTCTGACTTCAGACCTAGTGCTCTGTCCACTGAGCCAATGAGCTGCTGCAAAGCATTGTATAAATGCTATTACTATTAACTGAAAGTTAAATTTGAAGCACATGGAGTAAACTTCAAGATCTAAGTAAAATATGTTATTTTTCAAGAAATTCTTTTTTTTCCTAAAAATAACTAGCAAAACATTATATGAAATATAATAGCTAACATGTTTATAACTCTTTAGGGTTTCTAAAGTGCTTTACAAATGTTAATTCATTTTATCGTCACAACAACCCTGAGAAACGGGTACTATTATTATCCCAATTACAGGTGAGGAAACAGAGACATGCAGAGGTTAAGTGACTTGCCCAGGGTCACACACCTAGAAAGTATCTACTGCTATATTTGAACTCAGATCTTCTTAACTCCAGGTACCAGTCTCTATCCACCTAGCTTCCTCAATATATTATAACTCCTTTTCCTTCCATTTCAAGATGCAAAAGCAGAGGAGGATGCCAATAATTCTGTCACCTATGACAACAATTTGATGAAGTATCCTTGTAATAGTTTTGTCAAACGCCATCCAGAAGTGAAGATCAACTGGAAAACTGCATTTGGAATAGCAACTCTGGTTTTGACAGACCTAGGCAATAAATCCAGTTCTTTTGAAAGGATCAGAAACCAAAACATGAAGTCCAGTGGAGATTTTCAAAACTGTCCTGTTGGTAACATTTGTTTTAGTGATGTACAGCACCCCTCCAAGGAGAAAGGCAAATATATGGCTCTACCATCGGACAACGTCAATGGATCACCCATATTTGACTCTCAATCTAGTTTAAGTCCAGCACACAAAAAGTTAAAGACTAATCACTCACTTCCAGAGCTCAAAGGCTGCAGCCCTGGCTTCTCAAACATGTGTAATGCTTCCAACAATGGCCCTACTTCTTTCAGGTATTTCACTTAAAGTTATAATAGGGTGATGGTGTAAGGGAGGAGGGGCACGGGAAAGGTGGAATAGAGAGTATTCATTGCTGAGATATCTGGAATTGAATACGGGTAGAATAAGCCAGACTTTGAGCAATTGCTGTTATATTAACCAGCCTTTCTCTTTATTCTCTCTTCTGGTACTGCTAACCACTGGAAAAGGCCATGGGATTTAGCAATAAAGAAATCATCAGTGACCTTGGGAGGAGGCAGTTTCCATCTAGTCATAGAGATGAAAGCCAGATTGCTAAGGCTTTAAGAAGTGAAAGGGCTATCAAAGCTTTAAACTGCATTCAGACTTTTGGGACACTTTGTATATGCTACTTGACTCTTGGAACTTGCCAAACCCATAAAAAGATAATTCTTCAAGTTTATAATAAAAAGTCATGACCTATATGTATTTATCAAGTGCTCAAGTACTAATGGAACTCAGAAAAGTCTTGAATGTCATAACCACTAAAAATCGATAGAGGAGGAAGGTTGGTGTGAGGATAAAGTGTTGAGGCTTGGTCACTTCCTTCCTGTGGGAATCCTTGGCAAGACATTTAACATGTCTGTGCCCTAGTTCCCTCATCTTTGAAGTTAAGGAATTGGATTTGTTGGCCTTAAAGGTCTCTTCCAGGTCTAAGTTGATAATCTTATGATCTAATCTTTAATTTAATTTAATGCTCTTAAGTCTAGACAACCAACAAAACAATCACTCAAGCCCTGATTTGTAGTGTCTGCTAATTTTTGAGGTATAAATACTCACACTCGAAATTTAACAATGGGCTGTAATTCAAGCTGGCTCCAGCATACCCCTACTTCTCTGTCTCAAGGCTCTCTAAATGGGCAGTATACTTTATTTACCAGAGAAAGACATTTATTGAATTTCTTTCAAAAAAAATGATTCTTTTTCACTTTTCTCCAGGTATTTATGTAGGGCGTGCTCAGCACTTTATTAGCTGCTGTGCAAAATGTGAAAGAAGTAATCAAAGTAGGTCCTGATCGAAAGGAGCATACATTCTGGTTCAATCATTCAATAATCATTTATTAAGCATTTACTGTGTGCCAGGCACTTGGCAAAAGCACCAGGGATACAAAGAAAGGAAAAAGACAGTCGCTGCTCTCAAGGAGCTCATATTCTAATGGAGGAAGCAACATGCAAACAAACTAGGTACAAGCAAGATATAGACAGAATAAATTAGAGATAATCAATGGAGGGAAGACATTAGCATTAAGTGGGGGGTTTCTTTGAGTAGATAAAGTATGTATTTCTTTTTTTTTTAATTTATTTATTTATTTTTAGTTTTCAACATTCATTTCCATAAGATTTTGAGTTCCAAATTTTCACCCCATCCCTTGCCTCCCTTACCCCAAGATGGCATGCAATCTGATATAAACTTTATATGTACATAATAATACATTCATATTAAACCTATTTTCACGTTAGTCATGTTGTAAAGAAGAATTAGAACCAATGAGACAAACCTCAAAAAAGAGGAAACAAAAAAAAAGAGTGAGATAGCAAATAATATGCTTCTATCGTAATTCAAACTCCATCGTTCTTTTTCTGGATGTGGATAATAGAATTTTCCATCATGAGTCCTTGGAGTTGTCTTAGCTCCTTGCATTGCTGAAAAGAGCTAAGTCTATCAAAGTTAGTCATCACACAATGTTGCTGTAACTGTGTACAGTGTTCTCCTGGTCCTGCTCACTTCATTCAGCATCAGTTCATATAAGTCTTTCCAGGTTTTTCTGAAGTCCACCTATTCATCATTTTGTGCTATAAGCACAATAGAATTCCATTACATTCATATACCACAGCTTGTTCAGCTATTCCCCAACTGATGGGCATTCCCTCAATTTCCTGTTCTTTGCCACTACAAAAAGAGCTGCTATAAATATTGTTGTACATGTGGGTCCTTTTCCCATTTGTATGATCTCTTTGGGATACAGATGTAAAAGTGGTATTGCTGAGTCAAAGGGTATGCACAGTTTTATAGCCCTTTGGCAACAGTTCCAAATTGCTCTCCAGAATGGTTGGATCAGTTCACAACTCCACCAGCAATGCATTAGTGTCCCAATTTTCCAACATCTTCTCCAGCATTCATCATTTTCCTGTTTTGTCATGTTAGCCAATCTGATAGATGTGATGTGGTACCTCAGAGTTGTTTTGATTTGCATTTCTCTAATCAATAGTGATTGACAGCATTTTTTATGTGACTATAGATAGCTTTAATTTCTTCCTCTGAAAACTGACTGTTCATATCCTTTGACCATTTATTAATTGAGTCATGACTTATATTCTTATGAATTTGACTCAGTTTTCTATATCTTTTAGAAACGAGACTTTTATGAGAGACACTGGTTGTAAAAATTCTTTCCCAGTTTTCTGCTTCCCTCCTGATCTTAGTTGCATTGGCTTTGTTTGTGCAAAAACTTTTCAATTTAATGTAATCAAAATTATCCATTTTGCATTTCATAATGTTCTCTATCTCTTGTTTGGTCATAAATTCTTCTGTTCTCTATAATTCTGACAGGTGAACTATTTCTTGCTCTCCCATTTTGCTTACAGTATCAGCCTTTATATCTAAATTGTGTGCCCATTTTGACTTTGTCATGGTATAGGGTGTAAGATGTTGGTCTTTGCCTAGTTTCTGCCATTCTATTTTCCAGTTTTCCCAGCAGTTTTTGTCAAACAGTGAGTTCTTATCCCAGAAGCTGGTAAAGTATGTATTTCAAAGAAAGACAGGGCTTAAGATGGGCCATCTAAATACAAAATGACATTTTTTTAAAAAAGTTTTAAAATTATTTTTATTGATTTTTTGTTGTTGTTGTTAACAACCTTGTCATTTCCCAATGCTTCCCCCTTCCTGGACCAATGAGATCCTTCCTTATAAAAAAATATGTACAGTTAGGCAAAACATGACAACATATTGATGATACAAAAATGTAGGCCTCATTCCATACTCGTAGTCCACCACCCCACTGTCAGGAGATAGGAAGTATGCTTTATTTCAGTCCTCTAAAGCCATAGTTGGTCCTTGCATTGATTAGTTTTGAGATTTTTTTCCATATTGTTTTCCTTTCTATCAGGAGTCCTTAACTTTCATTGACCCTTTTGGCAGTCTAAAGAAGTCTATGGATTCCTTTTCAGAATAATGCTTTTAATTGCATAAAATAAAATACACAGGATCACAAAATAAACTGGTTGTGTTGAAATACAGTTATCAAAATATTAAAAAGAAAAGTTCACAGATTGAAGGCTAAGAACTTCTAATTTACATTATGGTGGCCATTGTGTAATTTGTTGCCCTGGTTCTGTTTATTTTGCTCTACATCTGTTCCTATAAGTCTTACTACATGTCTGAATTCTTAGTATCCATTATCCTTATGGTGCAATTATTCCATTATATTCATGTAGTCCAACTTGTTCAGCAAAATAGCATTTGTTTTCCATGGATGTGGATTTGCTAATGGAATCCCTTTTCTGACTAGTCAGATCAGCTATTCTTGAACAGCTCAATAGACCTCCTATAGCTAGATTGACTTCTAGGGGTCATTAAAGCTTAATTCTTGACTAATGACAGTTCTAGTGTAGCTTATTGGCTTGTCCCATGTGACAACTCCCTGGCCTGTGTGATACCACTTTTACTAGCTTAAACAGTAAGTTTTGTCTCTAAGATGTTAACACCGGGGCAAAGGAAAGCACCCATTATCCCTGACTTGTGTGCTATTTGCTGGAATCACACATGATTTGTTCTCTTCAATCTATCAATTGCACATTTATTAAGTACCTACTATGTGCCAAGCACTGTGCTAAATGCTGGGAATACAAAAAGATTCAAAAGACAGTCCCTGTCCTCAAGGAATTCACAATCTAACATGGGAGACATGTAAGGAGGTGAAAAGTACATGTTGTCTCCCATACATGTAAACAAATATATGCAAAATGAGCTACCTACAGGATGAATAGGAAGTAATTAACAGAGGGGAGGCACTGGAATTGGGAGGGGTTGGGGAAGGATCCTTGTGGAAAGTAAGATTTTATTTGGAACTTACAGGACTTTTTCGACAGTATGATAACTTTCATTGTCCAAGTTACCCTTTGGATAAAGAAGAAGTTGGAGATAAATCATAGAGATTGGACTTTTAGGTGACTTGATGAATACGTGACATTTTTTCATAGGACCATTTGGAGCTTGAAAGGATATTAAAAGCCATCCAGTCCATCCCTCTTGTTTTTGAGATGAGGAAATGAAGGATTTGAGAGGTTCAGTGTCCTACAGCTAGTGGGAATCACAAGTAGGATTTCAGTCTGCTTCTTGACTCTATGCACTCCACTGCCTCCCTTACCCTTGACTCTAATTAACATGCTGGTGATAATCTTTCATAGAGGAGAGAAATGACTAGAGAGCTGACCTTCAAGCCAAGAGGAGCTAGATTTAAGTCCTGCCTCTGACTCATAGTGGCCATGTGACCCTGGACAAGTAAATTAACCTTTCAGTGCCCTAGGCAACTTTCTAAACAGAGAATTTATCAGTATGCAATGGCACAAAGATTTCCCTCACCTGGAAGTTCTCAGTAATAATAATAAGAAGAAGGATAGAAAATAGTTATATAGAACTTTAAGGTTTGCAAAGCACTTTATACAAACTAAGTCATTTTATCCCTATAACAACCCTCAGAGTTAGATGCTATTATTGCTCCCATTTTACAGATGAAGAAATAGGGTGGGCAGAAAGTAAATGACTTCTCAGGAATCACACAGCTAGTAAGTGTCTGACTGAATGTGAACTCATGTCTTCTGACACCAACTCTAGTATTCTGTCATCTAGCTGCCTATCCTGTAGGATAAAATCAAATCTGATTTAGGAAAGTATCCCTCTCCCTGATTTGGTAAAATGTCTGATACTTGAAAAATAACCCCTAAACATCCTGTTTGGCTCCATATTTCCAGAGAAGAGAGAAATAGTGATAATTTTTAAACATACTGAAATTATGTTATTAAATTTCTCTATTTTTACTAAGAGCAAATCATGAACAATTGAATTAATCAAGAGCTTAAAATCAATAATTTAAAAATTATTTCTTTATAAATCATTGACAGCCAAACTATATGATTAAACATGGCACGGTGTACTCTTTAGAAATACCGGTACATTATATACATGTTGACTGTAACTGAGCCATGATTGGTTCACTACAATCTATAGAGATCAACCAGCAGAATAAATGTCAAGGGATGAAATAAATTCACCCAGAAGCCCTTGTACATCCAGCTGCTTTACAAGAAGCAAATTGTAAATTGCAGTCATTTGTTTAATTTTTTTCTTTGTCTGGAAGGCACAGTGTTCATCTTTTGGACAAAATTCCCAGCAGAAACTCATGGAGTCCTATTTACTCTAGGAGCTGGTGGCCAATCACAGACTGTTACCAGTCCAATTTGACCTTAATAATCATTTGACATGGTAGTCGATTGAACACTATCATTCTCATTACCGATATAGTCATTCTATGAGCTCTTATCCTTTTTCTACTAAAGAGAGATAAGCCATTTTCCATTGTAGTCTTTAAGAAAATAACTGTTAGAATTTATCAAACTAGATTAAAAATTAGGTGGTTGAACCAATTATTTTCGTAGTTAAGAACTGTGAGCAGTTTTAACAAGCATTATAATAACTAGAAATAAAGCACAGTAATATGATGTTAATGTATGCTTTTTTCTTTTTTTATAGAAGAAACAATGCTCTGAACCAAAGTATCATCACTTTTAGAACAAGAGCTCTTAACTTGAGGTTTATGGACTTGTTAGTAGTGAGTTTTTTAAAAAACATATTCTGATAACTATTTTAATATATTTGGTTTCCTTTGTAATCCTATGCATTTAAAAACATTCTGAGAAGGTTAAAAAAGGTTAAAAAACTCCTGCCCCAAAACTTAAAGGAAATTTAGAGATTCTATATATAATTCTATTTCATTTTACAGATAAGCAGACTGAGGTGCAGGACAGATATGTAACCTAAGGAGGTGAAAAGATTTTCAAAAAAACCACAAAAGTGACCTTTGTATTTAGTTAACTTTAAGATGGTGTTCAGGTCTTATTTAAATCCCTAATGCAGTGTCCCTAATGCAGACTGGCTTTTACCTGTCTTCTTTGGTGCTTTTCTGTTACTGAGGATTTATATTTAGCCTGGTTTTAATTACCTGAGTAAGCCCCTTCCCCCTTTCTGGGCCCCACTTTCCTCACCTTCAAATGGACATAGGCTATGTCTATAAGATGCTATGATTTATTTTCTGCATGGATATTTAAGATCTGAAGACAACTTTTTAGTTTTGAGTGAAGTTCATCTTAAGCCTCCTTCCTCCACTCTTTCCTCTATATTTTGTACATACACTCTTCTCACACATACTAATTAAGGGAAATGACAACAGCTCCTCCTAATTGCTCACATAAACTTGTTTTGGTAGGTTTCCCTTGACTCCTGCATTTGTATTTCAAAGTTCTTATTCAGCTTTGGTCTTTTCATCAGAAATGCTTGAAAGTCCTCTATTAAGAGATCATTTGTTTCTCTCATATTATTATACTTAGGTTGTAGGCTAAGTTATTTTTGGTTGTAAGCCTCTCTCTTTTGCCTTTTGAAATATTGGATTTCAAGATCTCATAGAAGTTGCCACATCTTATGTGATCCAGACTGTGGTTCCTTCATACTTGAACTTTCTAGATGATCACAGTAGTTTTTTCTTGGATGTGGAAACCCAGGATTTTGGCTATAACACCCCAGGGACTTTTTTTCATTCTGGGTTTCTTTCAGGAGGTGATTAGTTGACTCTTTCTATCTTTACTTTGCCCTCTGGTTCTATTGAATCTGAGTGCTTTCTATTTATGATTTATTGAAAATAGTGTCCAGGCTTTTAAAAAAAAAATAGATTTCAGTCCAATGACTTTTCAACTATCTTTCCTGTTTTCCAGGTCTTTTTTTTTTTTTGGTCAGATATCTTTCTCTTTATTTTTTTTCATTTTTTAATTTTGTTCCAATATTTCTTGCTATCTCATAGAGTCATAGATTTCAGTTTGGTCTGTTCTAGTTATCAGGGAATCCATTTCTTGAGTAAAGGTTATCACTTTGCTTTCTTAGTTACTTATTCTCATTATGATTGTTTTTCCTAAAGTATAATTCATGTAGTCCTGGTGGTAAATCCATTTTTCCTTTGAGCCTTAGGTGTTGTGCAGTTACTCTCTCCCTGTGGGGGGATCTCTAGGTCTGCAGTAATTTCTATACTGATTGGTGTTTTCTTTGATTTAATCATCCCTCTCACTTTAGTTCTAGAATTGGGGCTTTGTGCCAGAGCCAGGCTCTGCCCTTTGCTGCATTTTGGTTCTGCTTGTTCTTAAACTAGATCCATTGGGTTCATCGTCTGGCTGACCTCCACCTCCTAGGGTTAAGCTCCCTGGGTCTTTGAGATGGATCTTCAGTGCCATCTAAGGTGTCTCAGGACAGTGTTGGGGGATTTGAGAGCTCCTGAGCCTACACTGACCAGATCTTACTTAGCCCTGTCATCTGAACACTGCAACATTGTGCTGATCCTTCCATAGTTTTCGACCTAGGGCCACCCTGGGTCTTTCTCAGAGAATTTCTCCTCTTTTGCTTCTTATAGACTACATGTTCCCCTGGACATACTGGCACTTGCTTTACTGCAAGAGTCTCTTTTCTTCTTGCCCATGAGCTTCTGGTTAACTTTTTATTCAATTCTATAGTGGAAAAACTAATTTATTCCAATTTCTCAATGAATTTCTTGATTATTATTCAGTCTGGTATGAATTTGAGGGATAGCTTGATGATCTATTCTATTCACTCAGCCATTTCAACAGTAAGTTCCACTGTTCATGTCTGTTGATTGTTAAGTTCACAATTAAAAAAAAATAGAAATAAGGACATTTAATTAGATATTCTATAAGACCCCTTTCTGATCTTAGAAAAGACTTGGAATTAATAGCATCCATCTCAGTAATATTAGATGTTGAATAAAATCAATTTGAAAATATGGGTTTTAAAAATAAGCCCTAAATTTAGTATTAGTAGATTCATTTATTTAAAAGGACTGGTGAGCTCATCAATACAGGCACTCCCTTTAGTGATAAAGGTTGCAGCCCATCCAAGTCTGCTCATTTTCTGTGACATCAAGCTATAATCTAAAAATATTCTGCAATATGTGTTACGCTGAAATTTTGTTAAAATAAAGAATTCTCTCATTGTAGGAGACTCGGGATCTGCTGAGATGTTATTCTTCCTCATAGTACCGTTCTAAAAGAGAGTAAAGCACAGTTTAGCTTTAGATGCAAGAGACATTAAGTTCATTATGGTATTTGCTATTTTTAAAAATATAGTAATTCCTGAGAAAAGTCTCTGTGGACATTATAGATAAAAATTTCATATTATTATCATTATTATTATTGCTGACTTATTTTAAAGGGGTGCCTCCCTTTGTGATTTTTTTTAACCTTTGGCTTTAATAACTGGGAAGCACTGTTTCCCTCTGACTGATCCCATAAAAGACTAAGTAAGCTATTAAAATGGCATTATGAAAAAATATAAAAAATTAAAAAATAAAGAATCATGATCATAATGAAGATATTCATTTCAAAGCAAGTATTCTGCAAATTGACATTAGAAAGATCTGTTTTGGGTCTTTCCTTTTGTTCCCTGTATATTTGTATTACCTCCAGATATCGTAGTCATAATGGTAGAATAAAATTTCCCTAGCGGCTTTATAAAACAGCCATCTCTACTCTTTTAGCGAGACTGGTTTTTTTGCTAAAATTTTGATTGGCACCATTATAGTGGCCTTGATCAAGGAGAAGTGTGGAAAATCACCCTTAATTGGACAGTAAAGGGGATGTTCTCAATGGTTAGTAAGAACTATTTATTAGAGTTTACTACCAGGTGAAAAATAATCATTGGAAAGATTGAAGGTTTTCTTTTTGGGGGATTTGGGGAAGGCAAGAAAGAGAAAAAATGCCTGATAATTGAACAAAAATAAAATTTAATCTAAGAGAAAAGAGGGCTAACAGAGGAAAGAGCAAAAATTGAGAATATTTTAAAGGTGACAAAGTAGCAACACTTCAGCGGGGTGGGGGCAAGAAAAAGGAACATAAGAAAACATAGCCATTTTTGTGTCTTAGATGAAAATATTAGCCTTGCTCTTTACAGTACTCATTGTAACCTTTAGATATGGAAAAATCTTGGACATCATGAAAATCATTTGCAGAATGGCATAGAAAAGATTTATGCCATATACATTCTTGTCCATGGTTGACCAGAGGTCCATTCCTGATCTTTTATTAGGAGTTGGTTTCTTCTAGGTGGGGAGCAGTGGTGGCATTAATGATCCCATTAGAGTGATTAAGCTGGAGTTTCTTTGTAACCTATCATTTCAGTGAACTTCAAGTTAATGTGACAGATAGTACTTGTACCAAAAACATTAACAGTCCTCGCTGCAATAAACACAACCGCATCTGCGTTCTCCGAGTTGTGAGGAAGGATGGGGAAAGCAAGGGAAGGCAGTTTTATGCTTGTCCTTTACCTAGAGGAAGCCAGTGTGGATTTTTTGAAGTAAGTATAAGGTTCATTGTACATTACATAATAAAGATAGTAAAAAAATAACCTTTTTAAAAAAATTTGCATATATTGACTACAGGGTAATAGGTGACAATTTTCCTACAAACACCTCCTTTTCAGATTAAAAAAAAAAGTCCCCATTGCTATGCTTTCTGAAAACTAGATAGTGAATAACTTAAAAATCAATGAGACTCAGCAAAAAGTTTATTAAAAACACAGTTAATAGGACTTATCACATCCCTCTTCCACAGAGCTTTTTAAACATTAATTTGTCCCCACGAGAAAAGAAGTATTATCTTTAGCTTATGTATAAAGAATAGGATTAAGAGATTTACCCATATAGCAAATCTGAGATAAGAATGTCATAGTCCTGACTTCCTGTGCTATGCGCGCGTGCGCGTATGTGTGTGTGTGTGTGTGTGTGTGTGTGTGTGTGTTTGAGTAATAAAGGATGGGAAAGAATATATGTGGTTTTACTCCCTAGGAAGCTTTTATAGATATTGGGCATTTAATCAATGCTAGTGACTGACATTATTAATATACTGGAATCTCACTGAAACATTGTAGTGTAAAATTACACATAGGTGTGTCTATCTCAACCACCATATCCCTTCCCCCCTCTTTTGGATAAAGGGAATTTAATGTTGGACTATGTATTCAAAACTCCACTTTAGCCTAATATCATCCTAGAATAAACTATATTTGAGTCATTAAGACCTGGGTTCAAATTTGACTAGCTGTGTGACTGTGGGCAAAACCTTTAACCTCTCTGTGTCTCCATTTCCTTATAACAGTTATGTGAAGGAATTGAACTAGATGAGCCCTAAAGTTACTTCTGTCTCTAAAGATATAACCCTGAAACTGTATATATTTATCATAGATATTAATCACTAAATATTTGTTAAGCACCTATTATGTGCTAGATGCTGGGTATGTTATATCTTAGACATTGCATCTTGTGGTATGACCTGCATTACAGCCAGTGTACAGTATAGTTTTCACTAATATCTTTATGGAAGTGGAGGAAAACCTAAAAGCTAATTAAAATGGACGATTAATGAAATTATCCGGGAAATTTTAGCTAATTGGGGAAGGGGGAGAAGGAGGAACTAACTTTTCTTAGGCACTGAGCTCCTTGGGGGCAAGAACTCATATCTTTCTAAAGTTATCATAGTGTAGCTATTCCCAGCTATCATACATAGCATTATATGCTCTTTATAAGTTTATAATCTCTCTTTATTTTCCTTTTTCAGTGGGCTGATTTATCTTTTCCATTCTGCAACCATGGAAAACGCTCGATCATGAGGACTGTGTTGAAAGTTGGTCCTAATAATGGAAAAAACTTTTTTGTGTGTCCCCTCAGGAAGGATAAACAGTGTGACTTCTTTCAGTGGGCCCAAAATGGACCAGGAATAGAGATTATCCCAGGATGCTAATTATTTTTAACTTGTATGGCATACCTGGTTCTCAATCTCTTAAAATGGTAAATAACGATGTTAGTTCCTTTGTATTTAATTTGGGGGTTAAATAATAGCCATAGTTCACTGGGAGTATCACCACAATGCTTGAAGATTATTGTTATTCCAAAGCTTTTAATAGATTTCTTCCAGTCTCTTCCATATATATATATATATTTATATATGTAATCTTCCACTTACTTCTGCTCTGTATTACTTTTTCCTCATGAGGACATTATGTTTTGTCAAATATCTTAATACCTCCTGTGTAGTGAATGTATTTAATGACAAAAATAAAGCACTGTTAGCATAATAGTAATTACTTGTAATGTGTGCAGGGAAGCCTGGACTATGACTGGAGAGGGGATACTTAACCAATACCTTTTTCAGCTGTATCTGGTGTCCTTCACCAAAGGGACAAATCAGAGAGTGATGATGAAGCAGATGATAACAAGAGATGAATTTGTATTCCAGCTGTGCCACTAATTACTGGTATGATTTTGGGCAAGTTATCTCACCTCTGTAAGCATCAGTTTCCCAATTTGTAAAATGAAGGAATTGGACTAGATGAGTGACCTCTTGAAGACGGACATGATTCCCCACCATCACTGCAATTTGTATTCGCAAGACATGCCTCAAACACACCACCGCAATTCCTATCACACATTTTTTGCCTAACACTCTCCCACTCTACCTCTATCCTTTCCCCTACTCTCCCTCCCCAAGTTTTGTGCAAGTTCCCAATCTCTTACTGAGCATCTCTTCCTTGTACTTATAGTTGTCACTCAGGCTTTGTTGGGAAAATTTACCCATCCCAATCCCAGCATACTCCAAGCTTCCCACCAGATCCCTTCACTGGGATACCCTACAACTAACCCAGTGCTAAGAAACAACTGCCTCAGTTTCCAGCTTTGGTGGAAGTGATTTTTCAGAGTTGATATTCATCTCCTTAGCTAGCTGCATTGTTAAAATGATTGTTTAATTAATTGCTAACAGTTATTTACAATTTCACTCTATCCCCCAGGGACACAAACAGGAATTTTTCAGAAATAATAAAACCTTTAATCATACTATTCTCATTAAAATTATTATTGGAACAATTTTTATTACTAAATTATTTTTAATATTGTTCATTACATCTTTACTTCACTCTTTTAATAGTTTTATTTCATTAGAGGACTACAAACAGAAGAAAAATGAAAAAGACTTGCTTAAATCATTATGCAAATTGTTTTCTCTATCAAGAATAGTGGGAACACTGCACCTGGTTCTTAACATTCAGTCTCTAAGACACAGAGGAAATAGAAGTAGCTTTGAAAAGAATGAAGAAGGGAAAAGCATCTTGATTGGATCAAGTATACATATAAAGGATATTGGTTCTCAAGATGATACAATTATGAAGATATTGAGAGACAAGATATATAACGCAAGGGAAGATATCAAAGATGTAAAAAATTCAGACCTTGTAGATAAAAAAAGTCAATTGAGAAAAGATCAACAATTAATGACCATAGAATGCCTGTTCTCCATCTGTGCAAAATCTTTATGGGAATCATCTATCTACGAATTGTGAACCTCTTCAGTGACAGTATTAGTAGGAAACAAGCAGAATTTCCTGAATCATATTCAACAATGAGGTATATCTACATCTCAAAATTGACTGAAGGATTGGGAAGATATAAGATTCTGTTGCCTTATTGTTCGCTGATAACAAAAAAGCGTTGGACTCAGTGGAACAAAACACAGTTTTACAGTCTCTTACAACAAAGTGCCTGCCAAACATCTATCAAGATCATTCAAGATTCTTTGGGATATGTAAAAACAATTAATTCTGTTCAGTGACCTGCTGATAAGATGAAATCAGGTAAGGCATAAAGCAAGGAAATATAAGCTCACGAAAAGTATTTGCTATAATGATGGATGAGATCCTGCAGAGTCTAAGTTGAAGAAGAATTCCCTATCAATTGCATCAAACCCCAAAACATTGTAAAGTCTGTTGGAAGAGATCTATAATCACCTACCACTGTTTCTGGTACGTAATATATGCTTAACAAATGTTTATTGACTTACTGACTCAAAGGAGTTTGGTCTGTCCATCCACACAGAAAGGACCAAAGGAATGAAGAGTGTCTATTGCTCAGATTTTAACAAGCTTTTGAGTGGACACCCCATACAGCTTGTTCAACAGTGTGTATAACTGGGACTGATAATACATATGCTCCCAGAGTTGAAAGGGAGGAAGAGAGAAGACTGGATTGTTCTCAGGAGTTTGTAAAGCACTATTACTGACCCCCCAAGTTTCCCTTAGTAGCGAAGGTCTATATTTTAAGGCAATAGGGGTGAAGTGATTTGCTCAGGGTCACACAGCTAGTAAGTGTCAAGTGTTTGGTCTGAGGTCGGATTTGAACTCAGGTCCTCCTGACTTCAGGGCCAGTGCTTTATACACTGCGCCACCTAGCTACCCCAGGTCCATCTTTTAAATGGGAACATTTTACTGGTATTGCTGTCATGTTCCAGAATACCTCTGTATGGGAAGAATTAAAAATGAGCATCACACAAAAAGCAATGCAAAGTTACATGGTGCATTTGAGCAGACTGCAAAATATAACCAAGGAGAAATTCAGAAGACCAAGAATAAAAGATCATGTTAAACAATTGTATGAGAGAAAGACAAGTATATAGTATATAAATATTTGAGCAGATCTGTGACCTTATGGATAGAGAGCTAGTCTTGAAATCAGGAAGATCTAAATTAAAATCCTGCCTGTGATTAAAAAAAAAACAAACACCTGACCATCTGACCTTGGGCAAATCATTTACCCTCCCAATATTTTAGGTAACTTTCTAAGACTGAGTTGCAAAGAAGGTGCTACCAGTACTGCAAGAGGAAGCTGCCTCACCCAGTAATTCTCTAATCAGTGAAATTACAGGTCCAGTACCTATAAATATTTATATGTTTATGTACACACACACACACACACAGATATTGTCTCCTCCAATATATTCCATATATTCTCTCACATATTCTCTTCCATAAGAGAAGAGACCTTTACTTCTATCTTTATTGATTAGCTCTATGCCTGATACATAGTAGGCACTTAAAAGTTTATTGACTGATAGATTGAATGATGAAAGTCTTCCTTGTGACTCATACCAGTTGTGAAAGTCTTGGCAAATTGCTTAACTTCTTAGTACCTGAAGGTGACTTTCTAAGACTATTAGTTGGCTATCTGAGCTGCTAGTTGTAGTTTCACTGGAAATTCCCTAAATGGATAAAATTACAGGTCTAGACACCCCTCCCCCAGTTCTGTATTAATATTAATTGGACTATTCACAACCTCAGTTCCTAAAACTGAGCAGTGTCCATGGTGCTGATTGAGGCATTCACAGTTTGTTAAGTGGGAAAAGAGACAAATGAGAAGTTCAGGTAGAGATCGTTGTACATGGGATAAATGAACCACTAAATACCATAAGAATGGTGATGAGTCTGCAGATGGAGTCTCCACACTTACAAAATAACAGTTCCTTAGAGTATTTTTTTAAAATAGTTTTTTTTTTTTTCATATGCACCGCTGTCTGAAGGCTTGTTAAGAGGATTTCCGGCCCTCAAGGTTCAGAGGATCAGGCCAAACAAGGGAGTTAGACAGGACACTCACTCTTAATACCCCTTTGAATGGTTTCAGGGACCTCAGATGTGAGGTAACTACATTCTGTCTCCTTTGGAAGGGTATTTGAGTAGGTAAGGTTGTAAGTAGCACCTTGTCTTGGTTTCCTGGGAGAGATTTGGAAGGAACAATGACAAAATGGGGGTTATATTACCTGGACCAGCCAGAATTAACATCAGGTCTAATGGTCAAGTTTTCTAGGAGCAACCTGTTATTCTCAGGTCCTTCTTTCCACACTCCCCTCAAACAACCTCATAAATTGAAGCCCCTCTCACCCCCTCCCCAGTTTTGCCCTAGCTCCTTCTGAACTGTTCAAGATGAAAAATTCCTTACTTAGGACAATCTTCCATTCTCCCTTCTTTGGAATGCCTTTTCCTGTCCTCTTTCTGTATAGAAAATATACAAAAGATGGTAAATAAAAGTCAGCAAGGTGAGGGTGAAAGCTTTCTGCATTCCAATTTCTGGAAAGAAATAAAAACATGTAGAAAAAAATAGCTCACAAGCAACTTACTATCTCAGTTTTCTAGGCAAATCTTTAAAACTTATAAATTGCAGAGTAGTAACTTGGATGGTAGAAAACTTCCTCACCCAGAAGGTTCTCATATCAATGAAATCACAGGTCCAGTCCCAATCTCTGCTTTAATGTTAAAGAGAACTATGTATAGTAGATAAGAGAGTTTGCCTCAGGGTCAGAAAGATCTGAGTTCTCTCTACCAAGGCCAGTATCTGACACATTCTGTCTGTGTGACTCTGGGCAAGTCACTTAACCTGTTTCCCCAGGCAGTTCTCTTTTAACACTATAAATTGCACTGGAGTTTGCATTGGTGAATGGAATTTCCTTCCCTGGGAGTTCTCCACACCAATGAAATTATACAAGCAATTTGGAGGTGTGGGAGACTAAGATTTACAAAGCACTTTTCCTCACAAGTTGGTAGTAGGAAGGTTGGCTCAATTTTCTAGATGAGGAAACTGAGGCTCAGAGAGGTGACAACTTTAATCAAATCATTAGGAAGCATCAGAGCTGGACCTTGAACCCAGTCCTAACTATAATGCACTTTCTACTCTCTTCTCCATGAATAAATAACTCATAAAACATTGTATCTCCTAAATTACTTTTAAATATATGTTTAGATGGGTAAAATGTTTAGTTGGAATATTAACTACAATTCTGGGAATGGTTAAGATGGCCATTTTCTTTTAGAGAGGTACCCTCTTTTAGATTTTCCTGGGAGGATTTCAATTCTGTTTTAAGTTCCCCTTCTTTCCACGGCCTGAATTTTGTGTCACTGCACGCATATGTTAGTGTTGCTGAGAAGTTCAATGGGTGTAGGACCTGAAATAAAAATATGTTTCCGTCTGAGTCCCCGTAGATTTTTCAACACAATGTGTCAGTTGCTGTTACACGTTTTTTAACCTTGTTAACACTCTTCAAACATAAATTCCACTTAAATGTCATCTAAAGAGAGTATTTCGAGTTTATTACAAATGGAGAAAAATCTGCAGTGATTAAAGGCTGCTGAATCTTTCTAGTAATTTAAATGACAGTTCTCACAATTGTCAT